CCCGTCCGTCCTCTCTCTCTCTCTCTCTCTCTCTCTCTCTCTCTCTCTCTCACACACACACACACACACACACACACACTTCTGCCTTACTCTGAAATCCAAGTGCTTAGAGCAGGGGCAGCTCTATGTATTTTGCAGCCCGAAGCACGGCAGTCAGGCAGCCTTCCCTGGCATGCCTGCAGCAGGCCGCACCCCTGCAGCTTGCAGCCCCAGGGAGCCAGGACTAAAGCAGGGGGAGTGGTTAGAGAAGCCACGAGGACTCCTGGGTTCTCTCCCCAGCTCTCTGCGAAGTGGGGTGTAGTGGTTAGAGCAGGGGCAACTTGTGGGTCACACTCCTAGGCTGTGTTGTCAGACCCGCGTCCCCGTCACTCTGTCTAACCCTTGGCCTGTGCTGAAGAGCCGCTGAGACTGACCCTGCAGCCAGCGTAATGCAGCAGGCGTGAGGGGCTCTCAGGTGGAGCCCGATAGTGGGACTGGGACCCTGCAGGACCCCCGGCAGAACAGCGGGAGCGGGTAAAATGTGCTTTGTTGGGGGTGGGTTCGGGTGGGTAAAAAACCAGGCTGTGGGAATTGGCGGGAAAACACTAAATCTCATAAATGTACCAAGAGTCGCCTACTGGGGAAATTGCTAAATAGTTTGTTTGAGCGTCTCTGTCCTCTCCATGTTTATCTCCCTCTCTCCAAATCTGGGGAAATGGCCCCGCCCCAGTCAGGTCAGAGACGCGTTGTGTGATAACAGGAGTTACAGGGTGTTTGTACCTGGTTCAAGCAAGTTTTGTTTTATTCTTTTAGTGGTAAAAATTGTGTCTGAATTCCATTGGTATCGATCATATCTTCACCCACCGGTTTCTGTCGCTTGGTTGGTTGGTTTTTAGCAGCATGGGGGAATCTGTCTCTCTTGCGGGATTTGCGGGATCAAAGGTTTTTGTGGCTGGAAGGGGGATGAAAATGCAAAAAACAAAGCCGGGCACTTGAATAACAGGAACGGGACAGAATTAAAAACAGTCCCGCTTAGGGCTCTAGTCTGATGTGTTGTGCCCCCCACTGGCGGCTGCGCCCCCCCGGGCAGACCCAGCGCTCCCCGTGTCTCAGGCCAACTTTTGCTGCTCTCCCCCATTGCCACGAGCCCTCATTGCCCCGGCCAGACGAGCTCCTAGGCTGGGCCGCGCCCGCCCCCTGGGGGCTGCTCCCCGCTCTGCAGCCAGGCCACGGCCCGTGGGAGCGCTGCCAGCCCCAGGGCCCCAGCAGGGATCAATGGCTCCTGACCCCTCCTCTCCTCACAGCTCATCCGTGCCAGCCCTCCCTGGAGCGCCGAACAGAACCGGGACCCTCCCTCACCTGCTCCGTGAGGACCGCCTGCCCCCATCCCCCCTCCTGGTACAACCGAGATGGCGCGCAGCAGAGCCCAGAGCAAACCCTGGCCTGGGCTGGGGCGACCGAGCTGCGAATATCCCCATCCCAGCTGGACCCCGGCGTGGCGCTGAGATGCCAGGTGGATGGATACAGGGATGAGTGTGACTCTGACCAATCCCAGCCCCTGGGGACAGGTGAGCTCTGCTGCTAGACATGGCATGGGTAGAGCAGGGGGGACTGGGAGTCAGGACGCCTGGGTTCTGTCCCTGACAGAGAGATGAGAAGAGTGGGGACTAGTGGCTAGAGCAAGGGAGGATGGAGTCAGGATTCTTGACTTCTATCCCCATTTTGGGGAGGGGGATGGTCTAGTGGGTTAAAATGGGGGAGACTCAGTGCCAGGACTCCTGGGTTCTTTCCCCAGCTCTGGGAGGGGAGTGTATCTGTGGGTGAGAGCACTGGGGTCTGGGAATCAGGCTCCTGGGTTCTATTCCCTCAAAAACTCTCATCTCGCTCTAGCAAATATTCTTGCCCCGTGGGACTGGACCGGGAGGGACCTGCCCCTTCGTTCAGTCCTGGGGCCCCGCTGATGAACTCTCACCCGACTCTCGCCCTCAGCCACCCCCAAGTTGCCCAGGGTCGAGGTTTCGTGGCTGGCAGGGAAGGCATCGTTAAGGGAAGGTGACAATTTTACCCTGCGCTGCCAGGCTGCTGCCCGGCGGCCCGTCACCAGGTACATCTGGTCCCGCGGGGACGTGTGGCTGCCAGAAGCCCGGAAGTACTTACGTGTTGACAAGGCAGCCATCTCTGATGGAGGGAGCTACGCGTGCGGGGTCTGGGTCTCTGGCCCTGGCTGGGGGTATCTGAGCATCTCTGCGAGGGAATCGGTCGAAGTTCAGCGTAAGTATCAAAGGCTGGTGAGAGCCTCCTGCTCGCAGCCCCCAATACTCCCCACACTGCCTCCTGGAGCAGCCCCTTGTGCCCCCACCTCTTCCCCCTGCTTCATCCCACTCACCTCATTAGCCCCAGCCTCATAATCCAGCCCCATCTCCTAAAAACCGGGTTTGGTTAA